TCAACTTCCACATTTGCTTGGTGGATTTCCACTGGTCAACGTTGGTTCAGTATCCAATCGCTTGCTTATGCCTTTGGACATTTATTTGGTCTTGGTGCTTTCGGGTGAGACTTTCCGGATCAGGCCTTGCCAAATCAGGTCGTGTTTTGAAAAATGAGCATTTGTTCAAGAAAATACACACCAGAAGCAACGACTAAACTCTCACTTAGATGTTCGGCCTAGCTGAGTGAGCAAACCTTGTAAGCCGCTAGGTTTCAGGCCTTGCTCTCGCTTGAGTTAAGGACTTTCAACCTTTTGGGTTTGGACCATTTTAGTGGCAAAAAGTTTGGCCAACGCCGGGCGTGACGTATTAGACGGTCAACCCTAAACCAACCCTAAACCAAGACTAAACCAAGACCAAAACCCTAAGCCCCTTTGGTTACTTTGTTGGGCCAGTCCAGGAAGGAAGTGAGTGCTACTCGTACTTCTGGGCCAAGCTTTGCCCTTTTGCCAGCCTCTCCAACGCACCAACCCGCCCACCGCTCGCCTTCGCGGCTGCATGTTTCCCAGGGTACGGGTCCGGAGGTACATAAATGAATAAATAAATAAATAAATAGATAAATTAATCAGCATGTATTTCCACGTATACACACACGCACACACACACACACACATATATATATACATACATATGTATTAGTACATATATATATATATATATATATATCTATATGCATGTATGTATGTATATGCACGCATGTATATATGTATGTACGACATGCATACACTGTTGCATCCCCTCAGTTGTTCAGTGGCCCCCTTTTTCCATTGTTTTTGTGGCTGCCCCACTAAAAATGGTCTTCCCCAAAAAGGGTTCCCTTTTTTCCCAGGGTCACTGAACAACTGAGTCCCTATGCATATGTAAACAAACTCTCCTTTGCCCCTCACAACCCAAACCGTCGATTTTTCGGCAAACCCGAGCGCTTCAAGGAAGACGGTGTGCACGGAGAGCGACATCTCCGAAAGCCCCCAGGCGTGGGAGCGTTCTCGAGATCGACCGTCACCAGTTTTGTTTGGTCTCCGGTGGGGGGGGGTGCATGGGGGGGGGGCATGGGGGGGTGCATGGGGAGGGGGGGCATGGGGGGGGTGTTGTTTTTTTTTAGGGTACCCGGTACCCGTTTTCTTGGTTGGTTTGAAGGGGAAGCCAAAATGAAAACCACCATTTGTTTCTTGTTCCCTTCTTTTTGGGGGGGAGGGTCCCCTGAAGCAAAGAGGGCCCATTTTCTATTTTCTATTTTAGGCCAAGTCGAACCCCAGATCTAAGCATTGTGTTTGGTTGGGGGGCTTCATAACTTGAGGGAGGTGTCCCCTTTTAATAGGACGGGGACGGGTTTACTAAGTGGTCAACATTGGAAACATTGTTTAGATGCCATCTTCTGTGCACTCTACATGGATATATAATTATATATATATATATATGTATAACACCATGACGCTTGTGTATTGCAAGGGTTTTCTTAACCTTGAAGCCAAAACTAAGCCCTTGCCATTTTGGGAGACTCCCCCAAATCTCTCTGAGCCACGCAAGCTGCCCTCTCTTGTCATCAATCCCTGCGAGAGTTGCTTGCCCTAGAGTCCCCACCCCTCAAAAAATAATTTGTGAGGGGCGTTTCAACCGAGTTGCGAGCCATGCTCCAAAAGTGGTGATCGCTTCAATGGAAACCACCAGACAGTTGATCAACTTTTGAAGGGGAGATGCAGTCACCCCTGCTCGACCCCTGGAGAGCTCTACTTATCATGCAACTTTATCCGTTTTGCGCTTGGACGAGCACTGCAGCACGTTTTGGACCGCAGAAAGCATCGCCCACAGAAAGCATCGCTACCCAATCTGCCGAACCGTGCAACTCTGGCTGCTGAGCTTTGCGTCACGCGTCTAAATGTTAGTCCAAGGTTTGGTGCTCATCATTCGGGCGTGTCTTGTTTTAGAGATCCCCCCCGCACACAAAAAATGTGGTTTTCCTTTTGGTTGCCTGTTAAAACCACAAAATCAAGGGTACCTCAAAGCAAGTCAACCCCATTTCGATTGGGTAAACATTTTGTGGCCGCCAGTCATGCTTAGGGTTCCAATCATCTTTCATAGTCTATGGTTCATTTTCGGCGGGGGGGGGTTCATCTTTCATGGCTTTCAACAGCTGCCAGCTGTTGGATCATCCGACTTTAGATTCCTGCTCCCAATCTTCAAGCTTTTGGGCCCCGTTACGGGATTGGTGAGATTCAGCTTTGGCACCTCCTGGCGCTTCCCCTTTGAGAACTTTGGAAGATCTACAAGGGAGTTCTGCATGTCAGCCCTGTTTGAAGGGGGAATATAGCTGGTCTCAAGGTGTGACTGGAGCGACCAACATTTTTTTCATTCAACCTACAAAGGGTTAGGAAATGATTCCTTGCGGAGGGCGAACGATTGCTTGCACGTGAAGAGGGCTGTCAATCCGGCCGAAGCCTCGGTCAGGTAGGTAGCCCGCAGGACGGGGCATTGGCACACAACTTTGCCAATTATCCTTCAATGTTCACCCACGTTAGGTACTCCCTGGAATTCGCTAGGGTTGATGGGAACTAACTCCAGCAACCCCAGTGTTGACCAGACTCGCCTGGCGTCGGTTGGTCCGAGAATGCCCTTGCATTTGTCGATGAGCCTATCGTAATTTCCCGGCTGATATATTTGATGGGCCTGGCAAATTAATTGCCAGATTCGGCCGTAGCGACTTCCTGGACCCTCAAACTACCCATGAACAAGGGAATCCACCCCATGTTTTCGAGTCACCCATTTCTGAGGGCAGTTTGAGGTTCCAGGTTCGCATTCTTGTCCCTGCGAGCGGCAACTCAATGACTTGCCCAGCCACCGGTCTAAGGCATCCAACCCCCAAGTAGAACTGGTTTATCAAATTTGGGGCCCCTTGCCAACCGTGGTTTCCACATCGCATGGAGAAACCAACCAGAACGGCAAAATGGCTTTCCAACCTCCAAGTAAGCCAGTAAAATGGTGCATTTTGCCAAGGGATGTTAGGACTTTAGCTTTTTGCCAACCAATGGGTGTTCCGTATTAAGCCACGAAAAGTTATCAACTTTTAGCAGGGCAGCAGATTTAGCCACCGAGTTTCAAATTGGGTTTCCTTTTGGCTTCCCCTTATCCAAAAAAAGGGAGCGACACAATTTGGAGAACCCAGCGGAAGTGGCGAACCCAAAGGACTCTAAGAAGGAGATGTTCCGACTGAGCCCAAAGGATCCGGAGATTCTCGGAAGTGAGCGGTCAGTATCGCGGCCAAGGTACCATTTCGTTGCTAAGAGTAGGCTGCCTGACGACGTGATTTGCTTGTGGTTTGCTTGGCCGAAAATCAGGTACCTTTTGGACACCAAGGGCTTTTTCAGAGCCCTCCGGAGTTCGGAGACGCGAAAAGCGTGAATCAGGCCGTGGAAGGGATGGCATGGGGCACAAAAATTCTATCAGCCGCGATCCCAGACTTCAATTTGGCCTGTTGGGTTTGCTTCATTTCCCCCTCTACCTAACACCAGTTGTCACGTTTTGTTCGGATGGTGCACAAAACAGGTCCATGGCTGTGTCCTGCGCAGCTTTGGCTCAAATAACATCCGTCGCTAGGAACTTTTCCCACCGGCTCGACGCACAATGTCGCTCAAGGCGATTTTGCTTGCCTTAGTGGCCCGAGTGGATGTGCCTTAGCTGCCTTAGCTTGCTGGCCTGGAGTCGAAGGTTTCACCGAACAACTCACTTTGCCCTGTTGCCCTTGTAAAGTTCTCTTCCGGCCTTTGCCCTGCTTGCCTTTTCGCGTAACCTGCAAAAGGCAAACTGTTTGGCAGGGGCCCGAGCCTGTGCACTTTACCAGAAATATCAGTTTTATCAGAGGATTCCACCCGCAAAAGCGCCGTTTTGTTTGGTAGGCTCCGCAATCAGAAGAAACGCTTCCAATCCTTTTTCGACCAGGGCCACCGAGCAACCCAGGGAACTCACTCCCGCAGCTGCACTCTAGACTGTTTGCTAGGTCCCCCAGTAGTGCCCTTTTGCCTTTTTGGGGGGAGGGTTCCCCCACTAAAAAAGACTACAGAAAAAAAGTTGGTACCCTTATTCTAACCTCTCTACTGGAGGATCTAGGTTTGTGAAGACCATCCTAGTGGCAAATGACAAGTCCTGGGGCTTTTGGGCCAATCCAAGCGATGGAAAGTGAGGGAATGTTTAGTCACATCCAGAAGGACAAGACAGTGGGTGATCCTCCCACCTGACGTTCCAATGGCCCCTTTAAAAGGACAATGGTCCAAACCAGGACCCCCTCAATTCGGCACGTTCAATGTTAAGTTGGTGGGAGGGAAATTGAAAGGGGATGTTTTAGCTTGGATCATTGTCTCAGGTGTTCAGTGGCATTTTTTGGGTGGCTGCCCCACTAAAAATGGTCTTCCCCAAAAAGGGTTCCCTTTTTTCCAGGGTCCAAAATAAAGGGACACCGCCATTTACAAGGCAATGTTTAGGTGTATGATGTAAGGATCCCTGTTGGTGGGAGGGTAGTTGAAAAGGGGGTTTTAGGTTGGATCATTGTTCCACGTGAAAGGGGTCGGGTACCTTTAGCTGGGTTTGAGGCATCTGCGCGCCTGGCCACAGCGGTGAGCGGCGCGACAGTGAGGGCCTCCAGCAACGCGGCGAAAACTCTCTAAGGGTGGAAGTACATACTTGTTCATACCGGTTCCTTGGCCTCCCTGGTTTCCAACCCACTTTAGAAGGGGTATAGCTCATAACTCCAACGGGGGAGCCCCCGTTAATAAAAAAACAGATGCACGCCGAGGTTCTTGTACATACCCCTTTTACATACCCCTTGGACAAAAGAACCCAACAGGCCTGCTGATGTTCATACCGGTTCCTCTCCCCATTTTGGGGTATTGTGCGGGTAACCGGGTATCCCAACTCTTACTCCTTGAGTTCATGGACTTGAAGCTTTTGGGACGATCACTCAACGAAAATGTTTGGACTTTCTTTGTCCGGTCAAATGGGTGTGGCTCAAAATTAAACAGGAGGGGTTACGCAGGTTTTAGTCCATGTTTCCACTTACCAGGGTTCCATTTTGGTACCGGTTTTTTGAGCCACAGCCAAATCAGGAAGTGAGAACTAGAGTGACTCGAAATCATTCGAAATCCAAATGTGCGTCCCCTCTCGTGAGACGAACCTACGATTGGATGTTCAACTTGAAGGGAGATAGGCCTGGTTATCGCTGGATGGTTAGCTCCACTTATTACCATATACAAGCATCATGATCTAGCGCAGGGTGAACAAAGGTGAACACACGCAGAGGGCATAAACCCACAGGGTAGAAACCCTTAGGCTTTGCTCCTCCAAAAGGCGTCCCCTTTTTGTGCCCCTTTACACCAACCTAAAAAGGGTACCCTCAACCAGAACCAAAGCCCGCATAGCCCATACAGTAATTTGCACTAAAAGCGGATCAATGAGTTGTTGATTATAATTATTTTTGCTCTAGTACTCCGTGGCTTGATTCTCCATTCCGTTCTCCGTTCAGAACTTGGCTTTGAGCCAAATTTGAAGAGCATGGAGCAAGTTTGCTGACACCCGGCGCCTTCCCTTGGCCGGGTGCAACTCTGCGACTTTGGCTCGGTTCAGCGAAAGTTCGGTGCGGGGCTCCTTGTTCGTAGTCGGACCCCTTTTCCCACTGGGATCTCCACCCAAACTTGGGTAAGTTAAAGTAAGGGTCAGTCCCTACCGATAGAGCACTAAAGCGTGATCCTTTTTAAGTGATCCCCACAGGTTTTGGGCAGGCCCCTTCAATTCCGCCATCAATTTGAAATAAAACTGGCACCTTCGGAATCCGAATGAACGAAGCCAAGCGAATGATCGTCCGCACGAAACTGGATTCATGAACTTGAAACTTTTTGAGAAGACCAATTGAGTGGCGGGTACTTTTGTTTGGGCCATCCACTCGATCGGAGGTGAGATCCAGCAACTTGTTTGGTCCTTTCCATTCTAGTGCTACCTTCCCCATTCTTTCCAGGGATCCTTCTTTCTAGAAAGCCTGCGGAAACCCAGGCAAAATGGTGGCTTTTTGAAAATAACGATGATTGAAAGGAATGGGACATCACCCTCCAGAATATTGCAACCAGACCGCCAAAGCAGGGAAACACACACACACACACGTGTTGTTTCTTGTTTTTACCCTGGTAGGTTGGTGTTGAAGGGAAACAGGGTGGGTTGGTGTTGAGTCAACCCCCAGAAACTTCTTTGGTCCTTTCCGTGCAAACCTTGGAGGCAACCTCACCTTGGGCACTAGCGCCCAGTCCTATGCTGCACTGCTGCAGGCGGCTTGCAGAATCCGCGTTGTTTTTTTTTTCCTTTTTTTTTGTTTTTCGGACTCCGAGGGGGGTTGCTTCCCACTTCGTTTCGATCCTTTCCAAGACCAGTTGTGTTTGTCTCAAAATCGAGGGAGGGCAGGTTGGGTTCCTTTGATGTTCCTTTGATGTCCCTTCAAGGCCAACCAAAAAGAAAAAAAAGACACCCCCCCCTACAGTTGTTTGCCCAGGGTTGGTGGTCTGAACGGAAGGATCCTTGCGAAGAGTGGGGGACGTTTGCCTTTAGAATAGTACGCCGGAACGGGTCGTATTGGTACGTAGCGAGAGTGAAAGTACACGACAGAACAATGGCTCGGGTGTCCAAATTTTCCGAGTATTGGGACGACTTGGGCGCAATGGTCACATGGGTCTGGGAAGTGTGTGGAAGCTTGGTACTAGTAATTAGCCTTGGTGTTTGTTCTGAATGCGACATCTTGCGCTCCTGAAGGGGTTCCACATCCATTTTTTTTCGGAGGCAAGGTCATATATATATATATATATGCGACAATCAAAATGTTGTTTTTGGCCGGTAGGGGTCTAAACCCTAAACCCTAAACCCTTGAGTTCCTGGGCTGAAACCTATCATACTTTTTCGGTCATTTCCTCACCTCTAAAAAAAAAAAAAAAAAAAAACTTTTCAACTTTCCAACTTTTCTGGGGTAACATGGGCTAAAAGTGTCTGCAAAAGATGAGAACTTCCCCAACAGCTTGGAGAATCATCATTCCAGGGTTTCTTAAGTGGTGCAGGTTTTTTTGTCCATCCACAGTATCAAGTGAGCCAGGATTCTCAAGTGAGCCATGACCTGAAGGCCCCAGGAGCTGGAGACCGGAGGTTTGGATGCGCTTACGCCGGTGGTGGAAAGATCTCACCACTTCTTCGCAAACCCGGATGGTGGGTTTTGGTGTTTTAGTATGTTGTTTGTTTTTTCTTTTTTTTTCTGTGGGATTTCACAAGTTCTTCCCCCCCCCCCCCCTTGGCCCTTTTTTTTTGGTATTTTTTTTAATAAAAATACTCTACGGGGTGGATCCACGTAGCCGTTTGCTAGAAAGAAGCTACTGTAGATGGTCATGGGCAAAGTCCATGTCGCACCACCTGACACAGAAACCTTGGAATGGAATGATTCCCCA